GCCATTGGCATAGCATGCAGAACAGCTAGTGCATCGCCCCGTAGTGCAAGGCACAGTGCTGAAGCCTTTGTCTCCTCGGTCCACCCATGGACCATAGCCGCTGTCTCGAAGAGAAGCATGTAGTCCTCCCAGGGAGTTTTGCCATCGAAGTGAGGAACGATGTTCTGAGGGGCAACGGCAGCAATGGTGGGCGCTGGCTTGGAGATCGTTTCTAGGACGTTATCCTGCTGAAGTTCGCCAGTGCTAGCCGATGACGCAGGTGTGAAGCTCCCCGATGCAGCCATTTCCTGCCTAAGCTTAACTAACCTATCTTCTAGATTTTTTTCTATACAATTAAATTTCTCATCCATTTCATTAATCCTACTTTCTAAATCATCAACTTTGCTAGAATACTCATCTAACTTGTTCAGCATTTTTGATTCTACATTCGAAATTTTTGACTCTAATGCTTTACTGTTTTCTAATATTTTTGACTCAATATTTGCTTCTAGGTTTGACATTTTTGAATCTAATGCCTTGCTATTTTCTGACATTGACTCTAATGTTTTGCTATTTTCTGACATTTTTGACTCTAACGCTTTGCTGTTTTCTAACATTTTTGACTCAATATTTGCTTCTAAGTTTTTAAGCATTTTATTAAAATCAGATGTTTCAAATAAAACGTTATCTAGGTCTTCACCTGCATCAATTAAAGCTTGTTTAAGGCGTGCCTGAAGGGCTGATTTAGTTCCACTAGTATCTAGATCTCGTTCTTCTAATTCTCTCCTAAGATCAACTACTTTTAACTCATTAAGTTTCACACCTTTGAATGCCATTTTTATGCCAAACAATAAAACTAATTTTACAATAAATGATTTTTTCCTTTGTAAACAAATTTACGACATAAATTACTAATATGTAACAAAGACCCTGATTCTTACTAATATCTAATACAACTAAAATTAAACTCAATATTTTACAATTATAATCGCCAAAATAATGCCGCTTTCTGACACCAATTGTTGCGGGCTTAGCAGGTTCTTTACAAATAAAACTTGGCGATTTTAAAATAGCTATTTTATTTACACTAATATTCTGTATTTACAATAATTACAATTTCCTAACACCTAACTAACCCTATCTAAACCTAGCTAAAGCCTATTCTAATTTACAATGTTTCTACTTACAGCTAGCCTCTACAGGATTTATCACTTCTGTTACAACACTGTCACTACACTGTCACTAGAGACACTACACTGTTACTGTTACTCTCACTGTCACTAAACTGTCACTGCCACTAGCACTAGCACTGGTCACTAACACCGACGGGCACTTGCTGCGACGATTCTCGGAAGGCTCAACTCAACTCAACTGCCGTGTGCCGGAAGACGGTCCCTTATATAACCTTGCCGTAGAACAATCTAGAGTGGAGAGTTCGAGCATCCGTTGTTTACAAACCGGCGTAGAAGTAGAAGGTTCTAGGGCCCCTATTGAGGTAGTCCGTTGACATAGGTCTATTGTCTATCAGTGGTGCGTTCTAAGAAACCCGTGTAAACAAACAACCCTTATGTGACAGCGCCTGGCTATTGTTGCGCGGGGCTCCTGACTTGTAACAGTATATTATTTGCCTCTCCTGAATCATAAAAATAAACTTGACTTTAACTAATCGATTGTTAAATACATAAACGAGTGAAAATTTAAAAACGTACGTTTTCAGGAAAAGCACTTTGCAAATTTTTTCCCCCTTTTTTCTAAACTTTTATTATTATTTTTATTTCATTAACATTTTAAGTTTCATAAAATGTCCATGGTAACGCAATAACTTTGGTAGTTTTCTTTTTAAAGAGCATCTTTAGTAGAAAAACACAAAATCCTGTCACGACCATAACGGACGTTTAAATGAATATTAAAAATAGTAAATATTATTTTTATAACTATGTTTTGCTATAAACTAATTTACTTTTATGACCATTATACAATAAAAAGGTCACTGAGCTTTTGGTATATTTGGTCTTTCTAGAAAAAAATTTAAAAACTCAAAAAATAGAAAAAAGCCAATAAAATCTTTTTAAGTTTGTATAACTCCGAAAAAACTTTCCTGAGACCAGAAAAATCTTTATTTTTGTATAGAGGTGTGCTTCTTTTGTGTATAAAACATTGAAATATGACGATATTTTAATTTTTGAAATTTTTATGATAGGAATCATAAACGTGATGGTCAGGGACAAGCGGTACGGTCGTGAATTGTCTGGAATAATCTAAATCTTTCCAAACAATCCTTCAATTATACTGTTAGTTGTAATAAAACTATGTGTTCCAATTGAACTAAACTGTTCAATTTACAATTATATTAAAGTTATTGTCACGACCAAACACACTATAATCCATAAGGCTGGATTGGTCGTGAAAAAAACTGCGATGGTCGTGAAACTTTGGTCGTGAAATTACGTGTTATTTGGCTCTGTTCTGGCGGTAGCCCTGCACCTCATGTTCGATGATACAAAGTGGACTTCTAGGTTGATCTAGCAATTGAAATATCTTATAAACAAAAATTAACACCATGTCTACTTCATCGAATGACTACGTACGGTCATGGACACACCAAAATTACAAAAAACACAATCTTTTCTTTATTAATCTTGTAATTCCTCCTTTCAACTCAAAACGACCGGCACTACAATCCTGACGTACACCCCGAACTAGTCTCTAAAACCAACTGACTCCATCGACGCCAGGCTTGCCACTGTCGTGCTCCAAAGTTGAAAATTTTTCCCAAATGGTCGTGACGCCAAATCGAGGGACAGACTTATTTTGTCATGGTAGTCAGTCTGCAATGACAATAAAATTATAATATGCTCCTTTTTTGTAAGTTTAATAACCATTGATGACATAAAAATATGACTTTATATATTTCGGCATGAATAATTAGTCTAAAAACAGCGTGAAAGTTGGAAAATGTACCCTAGGGACACGTCATGGTCGTGAATTTCGAGACTTTAAAAATACGAAAAAAATACCTAGAACCTATTTAAAACTAAATAAATGTGTGTAACATGTTGCCCCCGTCCCAAAAAATATTAAAACACATAATAATAAACTACAAATCCAGTATCTACGAAGTAAAAGGCCAGGGACATGAAAACGTACGTTTTTAAATTTTCACTCAAACACTAATTCCTTCACTTATGTCTAATATTGCCACTAAAATTCAGCCAAAAAAACTTTGTATACGTTTGTCCGAGGAACTGGCAACATAACCTAGAAGTAAACAATCCATTTGTGTTTTGCCTAAATTAAAGTAGAGTGAGTAATTCAAAAGTTTACAATAAAAACATAAGGTCCGCCAATATTTGGTATAATCTTACTACTTGAACTTATCATAGTCAAGGCATTATTATTGTTTGTACTAAGTTTTTTGAGATCGTCAGTGTCAGAAGTAAACACATTTCTCGTATGCATTCATTTGATCTGACATTAGGCAAGTTTATTTTACCATCGTGACAACACTATGTGCTTCGTACATTTTTTCACTTCCAAAGTAAGTTGCATAGCAGAACTGGCAAATACTATTATTCATCTCACCAAGTGAATGTGTATCTCGATGGGTATCTGTTAGACCAGGCCTCTCTTTCTCTACTCTCCTTACACGCATAAGATACATTATTATTAATTGTATCCTCCTCCCGTTTTCAATATTTCTTCTTTGAACTTCAGGCATTTTCCATTCATCCAACAAAACTGATTAACTTGGTCTTAACCTACTGAATATTAAAACATCCATATTTACTCCCAAAAAGCTAAAAGGTTTCTTTTTATAAACAGCTGTTTTTAGCGAATTTCCCATATAGGGAATAAGCTATTACCGTAGTACTCATGGTAAGACCTGGACCCGAGACTGATTTAATTTTTCATTTTGAGGTCCCTAGAGGCCAAAAACACCATCCGTTCAAATTCATATATATATATATATATATATATATTATATATATATATATTTATATATATATATTTATATATATATATATGTGTACGTTAGCGCGATAACTCGAGCAAAAATGATCCGATTTTGATGAAATTTGGTACAAACGTGTAAACCTACGTTTATTCGAACGAGTTTGCGATCCAGCATAATCAGACCATGGGAACGGGGGTTTAAGGGGGGTTTTATGGGGTAAAAATGGGTTTTTCCCATTTTTGAACCTAAAAACAAAAGATTTTGCGATTTCTTTCTAAACCGTTTTGTAGAGCTTAAAAAAAGAAATAATTTAGTATATTGAAGCGCTGTTGTATGCCTAACGGTCACGGAGAAAATTCAAAAATAGTGTAATTAAAAATTCCCATGTTATTCTTATGGAGAAAATGAAAATTGTTGTAGTTTACTTGTTTATGGGTATATATTGATAAAATTTGTCAAAAATTTATTTATTTCATCCTATACTATTGACGTATGGTCAAAAAACACTTTTTACCTTCCCCGTAGCAGCAAACCTAAGCACTCTTTAATCTAATGTTATTTAAATAGGGAATAATATGTCTTATTTATGGAAATATTTTAGTAAAAATGTAATCAGACAAGTTGAAATTCGCTTAGTCTGCAGGTTTGCTGCGGCGGGGGTATTTGTTTTTAAATTTGTTCTGTGTATTTCTTATGGGGAAAACCCTACTTTTGAGAGGGTCTCCCGCCCTTAGGAGTAGACATTTTAAAGTTCTAAAACCTTATTGCAAAACTACATATTGAGACGAATCTTTTGACACCTTAAACGTTGAAATTGGTCCACAAATAAGGGAGGAGTTGCGTTAACAAAATACGGCTTCACGTATTATATATATAGATAGATTGTTTCAAGACTGTAAATAAAACATGTGTTTTATTTAGGATATTATATTATTATGATGAGATGTAAACAAATATTGTTATTAGTGTTAGAGACTTCTTACAAAAGACATGTTCAAATAAAATGTTACCAATTTAGATCATTCCTAAGTATTATTATCACGAGAAGTATAGACGGTCGTGATACATGGCGCAGTCTGATGTAAACCTACAGATCCAACAGGAAATTGAAGAGAACAGACTTCAAAGAAATCAAATCCATGTCAAGCCTCCAGACAATTTTTCCTTCAACCCCTATGATTGGAGTGTGTGGAAGAAACGCTTTGAAAGGTACAGTTCAGTCAGCGATCTACATAAAGCACCTGGGAAAAGGCAAGTTGACATTCTTTGCTACTGTATGGGGGATAAGGCTGAGGAAATATTTGATTCCTTTAATCTAAGCCCTGATGAGTTGGAAAATTATGAATTGATTATGGGAAAATTCGAAAACCATTTCGTTCCTAAAACAAACATAATTTATCAGCGTGCTAAATTTCTTAGACAAAAACAGGGATCCTCAGAGTCTGCTGAAAATTTCATCACAGACTTACATACTCTTGCAAAACCATGCAACTGGGGAGATTTAAGGGATGAAATGATTCTCATGCAACTTATCGTTGGAATGAATGATCAAAACCTTAGTGATCGCTTACAGTTACAAAGCTCACTAAAATTAGAAACTGCAGTTGATGCTCTTCGCAGTTCAGAGGCATTAGTTAGGCAAAAACTTGACCTAGCTGATCCCTCCGTTGATCGGGTAAAATTTACCACTCCTAAAAAGTCTTTTTGTAAGAAAACAGTTTCTAATAACCATGGAAAATACAATCCAGAAAACCTATGTAAATGGTGTGGGAATACTCCATCCCATCGCCGAGGCTTGTGTCCTGCCAAAAATGTTCGGTGTAACAACTGTAAAGCAAACGGTCACTTTGCTAAAGTTTGTTCTAAGCAAAAGGTTAATGAAGTCAGTAGTGAACCACAGTTTGTTAATCAATATTGTACAAATTCATCAAATTCTGAAGAATTCATAGGTAAAATTACTGAAAACAGTGCTCTAAACCCTGAATCTTGGGAAATTGACCTCAGGTTTAATGATTCTGACATTATTAAGTTTAAAATCGATACTGGAGCAGACGTTTCAGTTTTGCCAGCTAATATAAAGCTAAACAAAAAAGTTCCATTACAACATACGTGTAAAAGACTTTCAGGACCGGATGGGACTCAGTTAGCTGTACGAGGGATGGTAAATGTAAAGTTAGACTATAAGAACAAATCTTGTTTTGAGCATTTTTATGTAGCAGAAAAATGTAAAACACCACTCCTAGGTAAACCAGCCATTGAAAAACTAAACCTTCTACAAGTTGTCCGAAGTGTGTCTTCAACTTCGACGAACTGGTACAAAAAATATCCATCTCTTTTCAGTGGTTTAGGTAAAATGAACGGAGCTTATGAAATTGAGCTAAAAATGGGAGCAAAGCCATTCTCAATTACAGTGCCTCGACGAATACCTCTACCATTATGGTCAAAAACCAAGGAAGAGATTCAAAGAATGGTAAATATGGAGGTCATAACTCCAGTAGACCATGCTACACCTTGGTGTTCTCCGATGGTCGTCGTACCAAAGAAAGACAGCGGTAACGTCCGGATATGTGTTGATCTTTCGAAACTAAACCAAAGTGTTCGGCGCCAGTTACATCCAATTCCAGGGATAGAATACACAATAGCACAGATCAAAGGAGCTACTGTGTTCTCTAAACTAGACGCCAATCACGGGTTTTGGCAAATACCTTTGGAAGAAAAATCACAAGATCTCACCACTTTTTTGACACCTTGGGGACGATTTAAGTTCAAGGTCCTCCCCTTTGGCATTACATCAGCTCCGGAGTATTTCCAGAAACGCATCCATGCTGCTCTTGGTGATCAAAGAAATGTAAAAGCTTACATTGATGATATCCTAATATGGGGAAGCACACAAGCCGAGCATGACAAGGTTTTGGTGGAGGTTCTGGAAAAGCTTCAAAAGGAAGGCATTACCTTGAATAAAGAGAAAACAGTCTTTTCAAAGCCAAAAATTAAGTTCCTTGGCTTTGAACTGAGTGCTGATGGCATTTCTCTTGATCAGGAGAGAGTTAAGGCTATTTCTGAGATGGAGCCTCCAACTGATGTGAAAGGTGTACAAAGATATCTTGGAATGATCAATTTTAGTGGAAGATATATTCCAAATAGGTCTGAGATTTTGAAGCCTATTCACGAGCTACTCAACAAAAATAATGAATGGATATGGGACAAACCACAACAAAAAGCTTTTGATACTATCAAAAATCTTCTTACTACGGCTCCTCACTTAGCTTTCTATGACCCTAATCTTCAAACAATGATTTCATCTGATGCATCATCATTTGGTATCGGCGGAGTATTGTTGCAACGAGAAAAAAGTGGCACATTCAAACCAGTAAGCTACATATCACGTTCTCTCACTGATACAGAAAGAAGATATTCCAACATAGAACGAGAAGCTCTGGGAATCGCCTGGGCATGTGACAAGTTGAAAGACTACATAGTTGGTAAGGACATAATAATCGAGACAGATCATAAACCACTTTTGAAGATTTTGACGTCAAAAAACTTAGATGAATTAACTCCACGTCTAGAGAATAAGACTAAGAATGATGCGTTACTCATACAATCTTGTGTATACTCCTGGAAAACACCTAATAACAGCTGACTGTCTTTCACGTAACCCTCTAAAGGACACTGAAAACTATGACTTAGAGGAGGAACTCACTTACTACGTGAGACAAGTCATTTCCAATGTTCCAACTACTGATGAAAACATACAGAAAATCCTACATTGTCAGAGACAAGATCCAATTTGTATGAAATTACGGAACTTAATCATTGATGGCTGGCCAGAAAAATCTGAAATTCCAGATCAATTAAAGACATTTTTCAACGTAAAGGAAGAACTTTCTGTTGCTGATGATCTTGTATTATGAGGAACAAGAATATATGTTCCAGAAGCATTAAGAGAAGAAATGCTAAAACGAATCCATGTAGGACACTTGGGAATAACAAAATGTAGACTCCGAGCCAGCAACAGTCTTTGGTGGCCAGGAATATCTCGTGAGATTGCAAAGATGGTTGAAAGTTGTCCACAATGTATTCAGCACAGGAAAAATAAAAACGAACCACTTATTCCAGCAGAGTTCCCTTCAAGACCTTGGCAGATTGCAGCAATGGATCTTTTCAAGTTAAGTGGTCAATGGTTCATCGTGTTAACAGATTGTTACTCACGATACTTTGAAATTGCAACCTTACGTTCTTTGACAAGTCATCAAGTCATTGAAAAATGTAAATCAGTATTTAGTCGTCATGGAATTCCAGAAGAAATCAGAACCGACAGCGGAACCCAATTCACCATGCGTCAAGGTTCGGAATTCCAGCAGTTTTCCAAAGACTACAATTTCAAGTTAAAGACCAGTAGCCCTCACTTCCATCAGAGTAATGGAGCTGCAGAGGCTGCAGTGAAGATAGCAAAATGCATCCTAAAGAAAAATAAAGAAGACCCTTATCTGGCACTCTTATCATACCGTAACACTCCAATATCGAACGGGTTTAGCCCTGCACAACTACTAATGGGACGACGTTTACGAGACAATCTACCAGTTTTGCCAGGACTTTTAACAGAAAAGCCAGATTTGAGTGACTTGAAACAAAGGGAGAGGAATTATAGAGAAAAGTACAAGAGAAATTATGACTCCAGGCATGGTGCCAAATCTCTTGGAAGTTTGAAATCTGGAGACAGCGTTTGGATATCTGACGTGGGAAAACCTGGAACGGTTGTAAAAACAGCAACTGAGCCACGATCATATATTGTCAGGACTGATACAAGAGACCTAAGAAGAAACCGTTTCCATCTTCTACCATTTCCCGATGACTTGAAAAGTACACCATCACGAGACAATGTGACAGAACAAAATTCAACAAGTGTCTGTACCAGAAGTCCAAAACCACAAGAGGACAACTCAAGTTACAAGACTAGACACGGACGTCAAGTACATCCTCCAAGGAGACTCGACCTTTAAGGAGGGGGATGTTTCAAGACTGTAAATAAAACATGTGTTTTATTTAGGATATTATATTATTATGATGAGATGTAAACAAATATTGTTATTAGTGTTAGAGACTTCTTACAAAAGACATGTTCAAATAAAATGTTACCAATTTAGATCATTCCTAAGTATTATTATCACGAGAAGTATAGACGGTCGTGATACATAGATAGTGTCAAAAAGTATGTGAAAAAATATGTTCTTTTTGTATAATAATTGGCTACCCCATGTAAAAGGGTGTGATGTCTGCTTTAGTACGGGATCAAAAAGTCTGGTGTATTACATAGAAAAATCTGCTATGTTTAAAAGTGTAAAATTAAACATAAAAAAAAACCAAATGTAAACACTAGTTTTTGTTCCGATGCTATGGATAGCCACTTGTAAATATTTACTCTAAAAAGCATTAAACTGAAATAGTCTGACAAAATGTATTTTAACAGGCACATTTTCATAGTGGCTTAGCTTATGACACTAATGAAAACTTCTGGAAGATTAATTTCAGCCAATAGGCTAGAGTAGTCTCCGACAATTGTAGCCAACCAACCAGCTTTTTCCTTTGGAAAATGAAAGGTGGTTGACTCAAGAGACCAAACCTTGTCAAAAATGTGATTTTTGACCCTTGTCAACCCCTACCAAATTAAAGGGAGAAAAAAAGAATTTTTGCCACTTTTAGCCACATTAAGTCTTCAAGTATCATCTAAATAAATATTACTTAAGATTGCCAATATTATTACAGGTACTCAAGGTATGAAAAGTGAAATTTAACATAATGGCATATCGTTTATAATAATACAAAATATCTACAAATTACTGACAAGGAGAAAACTTGATTAAATTACTTTTTCTTCTTCTTGAGCATATCTCTTGTGACGACATGTGAAGGTGGGTCAGAGGGAAGAGAGCTTAGTCCATTAACACCTTCCTCTTCTGCTCTCTTCCAAGCAAAGTCTGTTAATGCCTACAAATATAAAAATAAAAATTAAAAGACTTACAGGATATGACCATATGGTTATCTAGTTTGGATAGGAAGAAACACATTTTCACAATTTACAATTCCTTATTATTTTGTATACAGGTAGTGCTCACAATTTTATAAACATGTGATTCTGAAAAGAATAATTAAGCGCATCAGCGTAAGTATTTAATTTAGAGTGTACAAACATCTACTTTGGCTCTCATTTGGGTTTTAGTTCACACTTCGGTGTAAATTTGGGAATACTGTAACAGCTGCAAACAAATAATCAAATGATATGCTGAATTATTAAACTCTAGATCAAACAGTTCCTAGGCACAACACAACTGCGATCATGAGCGTCCACCTTACTTTACCATAAAGGGGGCATGGATGGAATAACGTCTAGTAAAAAATAAGTCCTCCCCAAGATAATTTTAAAAATTTAGGTGCAAAATGGTTAATTTTATCCGTCTTTGTACCAATATTTATTACCTAAATGTAACTATTATTTTTTACGGCACTGTCTGGAAAAGTGGTTCATGTGGGGTCTCGTATTGAGCCCAATATTGATGGACGTCCAGAACTGCAACAGGTAACTAACTTTGCTTTGTAAACTGTACGGTGAAATTTAAACCTTCTTCTACATTTGATACAATTTTATGATTTATTTTTTTCCACGTTTAATCAAACCCTGGACTACAGTGACTACCTCTTACCCAGACTCCTCGGGACCGAGGGTAGTCCAGATATCGGGTTTTCTTGTTTATCTGATGTCCCCTAAAACCATGCTGACTTTTGTGCATGATAGTCTACAGGAAGGGATGATGTGTTTATATTTTTTATTGGCCTTTCCAATTACAAAATGTGGAATTGGGTTGTGTTGTAATCCAATATTAGGTTTAGGCCTACTTAAATTTGGAAAATTACTGTATTTATAGACACGTGATTAATGACTGGTCTCAAATATTTCCTACGACAAAAGTGGTTAACAGTAAACCCCCCCTCCCCTTTCCTGCTTTCCAGTCCAGTTAAACCATTTTGCTGATAAAAATTGTACAGTTAAAATGTGTAGGCTTACGGCTAAGAGCGAGTCTACTGTTATATCAACCCACCATTTTGTTATGCAAGATTGAATCCGAACTGACAGGTAATATTCTGGACATCTGGCAAGCTTAAGGCCCGTTGTCCAAGAACGCGTCTGTTGCGTCTGACGCTGAGTAATAGACGCTAGCGATGGACGCTCAGGGACTGCTAAGCATTGATTTCAATGGGGCCGTTGTCCAAGGGAGCGTCTCTAGCGTCTGACGCTTGAGACGCTGAGCGTCTGACGCGGGGCACTGCTCCAGGAGCAGACGGGATCGCTGACGGCCAGCGTCTATTGCGTCTATTGCATTGTTGTTTCTGTGTTCTCCCGTGTACTCCATAATATACAGTATCTTAATTTAATGGCTATAGTCAAAGAAATATAGGATATGACCTAAAAAAATTGCAAGAAAATGTTTTAGGGTTTTATTTTGTAGTGTTGGGTCTGCTGAGTGACATACTAAAGGTTGCCAAAAATAGGTCCATGAGAAACCCCCTAAAATCATTATAAAAAATTGTGGCTTTTCCCAACATTAGAAAAATAATAAAAAATGATTCCACATGCATTTCTTATGCACATTTTTGAGATATTGACTTAAGACCACCACCAGTATTTATTGGGTGGTTAGTACTTCATTTCGATAGGAATCACGTTTATGGCCGCCATCTTGGATCCGGCATATTGGATATACATATTGTTTTTATGTAATGATAGTGTTGTGACTTTAATTATGTGTAGTGTCTTTATCATTTACAAAACTAGATTTTCATGCTAACTTCAATGCGGAAATCCGTTTTTATTTTTTGTTTGTTTTAAAGATATTCAAACGAAAACTCTCCCCCATACATTTCTTATAGACGTTTCGTACTTCATTTTTCGTACTCATTTTTTAAAACATGTTTTTAAATATCTTCAGTTCTTAATAACGCTTGTAGTTCTTTTCAACCTTAAAATAAAAAGGGCTTCTATTTTAGCTATTGATCATTCAAATCAAACGAGTTAGAGAATCGCTACGAACAAAACTACAAAATTAAATCTAACTTTTTTAGAAATTTGTTTTTATTAAAATATTTATATCTCGGGTTGTCAATACGGCCCAAGGTCTCTCTGGTCTTAAATTACTCAGTAAATGTTTGGCTTTAATTAATCACTAAATAAAATCCAACAAATTTAAAATGAGTCATAGGCCTTAATTTAGCATTAAATTATTTTTATTTTTTGAAATTTATCTTTAGTTAAAGAAATAATATATCCCCAATTAACTCCCAAAACTCTTTATAGTCTAAAATAATTCACCAAAGTATTGACTTTTATTTTAGCCATGGATTACGCATTGGGAGTTTTTTTAGAATAGGGGATATCTGTATTTAAGTAAAGAAAAATTTCAAAATAATAATAAATTAATGTTCAATTAAATTATTACAACTTAAACTTTAAAGGATTTAAAGGAACTTAAACAGTTTTCTTTAAAAGTATTAAAGTGTTTTTTGATAAGTATTTTAAAATATCCTTCCTCACTTCTATTTTTGAAAACACTGTGGGTACACAATCGAGGTTTACTAAAGGTCCAGAATTTCCTCGTTTTCTATCTCTTCGATGAATCGGATCTTCAACACTTGGCTCTTAACGCTAATAGTGAGAGCAAAATAAATTTTAACACAGTCAGCAACCAACTTTTGAACTGAATAGACGCGTTCTTGGACAACGGGTCTCTAAGCGATCGACGCACAGCGATCATCGCTCGGCGATCATCGCTCTACGTCAGACGCAACAGACGCGCCTTGGACAACGCACCTTTAGCATAACTTTAGAGCTGATTTCTTGAAATAGAATTTTCAGTTGTGCAGACTTTTAATAAAGAAAAGGTTTTTTTACAACTTTTATTCAGATTTTTATTTATATATCACTTTACGGCACAATTCTTATGAATAATTTTCATGAATTCTTTTTCAGTCTTGATTTTCCTACACAATCAAAATATGTTTAACTTGATTTGAAAATCCTTAATAAATCTTAGGGTAGGTCAAGTAGATTAACTAAAATAAGTTATCTAAAAATAATTTTAAGGCAATACCTTAAACGTTCTTGGTTCCCAGATCGCTAGGTTGGAGAGGGACTTTCTGTTTAGCAGGACGTCGCTAGACTGCAGACCTTGGCGGAAGATAGGGAAAGGCAAACCAAGCTCTTCACAAGCAGCTGTTGTCCTAGTAGTCCACAACTGAGCAATTAAAGGGGTTATTGACAGTTGGATACTTTTAGATCAGCATTATTCAATTGATACGCTAACTTTTAAAGCAACAGTTTACATTCCATTATTTACCGTTTTTATAGACAACTAGCTGTAACTCCCGGGCTTTGCCCCGTTTAACTTCTTAATTTTCAAGATTATCTCGTTCGCATGGCTCAATCACGTCCTGGTTGAAGTTTGTTCGCTACGCTCACTCACCTTTAGGTTGGAGCTCGTTCGCTACGCTAACTCGCCTCCAGGTTGAAGTTCGTTCGCTACGCTCACTCACCTTTTGGTTGCAAATTAGCTGTTGTCATTAATGTAAAAGAAATAATAGTGCTACACCCTGTTGGTAATCCTTAACTTTAATGCTATTGAACATCATAGAACAGAACCAACTTGTTTAATTGAAACAGCTGTTAAGATTCAATAATTCCATTTCTCATAAGGTTAACATGGGAAACTCCAGAGCCACTGGGGCGGAGCCCAAAAGGATTTTTGAAATAAGAATATGCCTATATGTTAATCGGGAATGTGAGCTATCATCATGCCAAATTTCAGCCCAATCCGACCAGTATTTTTCGCGTTCACTTGTCACAAACATACATCCATCCATACATCCAAACTTTCTCATTTATAATATTAGTAGGATAATTCCATATGACTTGGTTACTAGAAATATTAAAATAGCAACCCAGCAGACGCACAGGCAGCACTTGCCTATGTCTGCTGTATTTCATATACCTAATTAATTGAATTAATTTATACAGAAATGTTTTTTTTTTATTCTTAGTCTTAGTTTTATTTTTTTAATATATTTTGTATTAAAAAGTATATTTTTTCTGTATATATTATGTGGAAATAAACACATTTCATTCATTCGCGCTATACTTATAGATTTGAATAAATAATATTGAATGGCTAATGTGTATACTCACATCTCGCATATCTTCTCTCTTCAGTTTCCTACCCTTGGTGGAATAAACCAGAGCTCGATGAACTTTTCTCACTGCAATACTGTAACAGTTTCGAGCTCGGCCATAAAAGTGCTGAAAGAAAAGTTGCACGTAAGACAGGTTTTGGAGTTATTAAAAGGACGGCTATCTAGGCCTATCTGTATTCAGACTCAAGTAGCCTAATTCATACTAAATCAGCCTTGGACCTTATTTCAGACATTCAGCTGGCACCCCAGCTATGTCAGACATGAAATGCAGACATCTATTTACATTACAACGTCCGCTTAAGCTTTACCCCTGACGCGCAACTTGCAAGATTTCTGTTTTCACCTGCTACATTGAAGGTAGAATCAAAGTTAAGGTCTCATATTAAAGAAGATGAAATTTCCTATATAGTTCTTTGTTTCTATATTTCAATTATTTTAAATACACACCTTATAAACTTGAGTTGTAGTACAAGAAAAAAGGGTCTTTTCAACTATCCTTAACTTATTTAAAAAAACTTTTTTTGAACATTTGAAAAACGCAGAACTATAGATTGGTCTTTGTACTACTATAAGCTGTTTAGAGTGCGTAGCTATCATTATTTGTTAATTCTAAAAGAGTAATCTTGGAAACGTCTGCAAGCGCTTCTCACAGCGCTGTCCAATGGTGAAACATAGCTACTGAAGCCCGATCTGAGATTTCCGAGCTGAGGTAAAGCGCACCCTTATAACAAAGTCAGTTAGACACCAAACAGTCTGTACCATACTCAAAATCACCTCTGGTACTATATATAGAGGAGTTCAAAAAAGCACTGATAGGTAATGGCTACCAAGATTACGAGTAATTTCATCTTCAATTGAATGAAAAAAAAATCTAAATGATCCTCAATAAATTTTGCTTAAGTACTCGTTTCGAGGACCCACCGACAACATGGCGACTGGAACTGAGCTTTAAACTAGGCGATTAGTGTTACAGGGCTACCAGCTAGTGATGCGCGATTGCGATACGTGTAAACAATCAACATATTCCTTCTCGAGATGTTTCGCTTATCGATTGCTTCGATTAATTAGCGAGAGGTTTGTAGCCTACAACTGAAATGTTTCTCTCGATTGTTGCATTTTTGTTAAGCTCAAAACGTCTCTCTGCAACTTTCTACATTTCATGACCAGTCACGAGGAAGTTAATTCTTTTCTCTAGATTTCTTATAGAATAGTATTAGCCTATGTAAAACATATATATTGCTGACATTTGCATAAACGCTTACGTCAATATGTCATGTCAGCAGCAATAGAAAATCATTTTTAAGTCATAATACCCCTGCCGCAGCAAACCTGCAGACTAAGCGAATATCCATTTCCCTGAATTGATTTTCAATTAAATCTACATTTAAATAACATTAGGTTAAACAAGTACTTACCTAGGTTTGCTGCTACAGGGAGGCTAATAAAGTGTGTTTTAGTAAAATATTAATAGCTTAGTAGACTATAAAATTAATAAACTTTCCAAGTATGGTCAAAATATATAGGCCTAGCCTACTTAAACAAGCAAACTAAAATATAAGTTAGATCTACACTCCATAAAAATAACAAAGGAATATTAAATTTAAGTACATTTTTTCAAATTTTCCCTGTACCGGTAGTGACCGGTACCAATTCCTAACCGGACAAAAACACTCTGTTATAACATAGGAAGATATTTGTTTTTAAGCTAGCTTTAAAATGGTCTAGAGAGAAATTGGGAAATTTTGTGTTTTGAGAGTCAAAAATTAGAAAATCCAATTTTCACCCCATAGGTAACCATCCCCATCCGTTCCCATGCTCCGATCATGCTGGTTTGCGAACTCACTCAAGTTTATCTCCCCTTACACCTTCAAGGTTGTACACGGTTTAGTAAGCATAAACCCTACACCAGGTTTTATTGCTTAAACCTATTGCGTTATATTCCGTTGATAAAGTAAGTAATAAGTTATCCCTAAACCTTCCTCGTTTTTGAAGTAAGAAAGACCTCTCATTGGGGGACAGTCCTCGGCGGATACAACAGAAACTAGGCCTAGATGATAATTGCCAAAGCCCCAGTAAGTAAAACAATAAATTCTCCAAGAACATATTGCTAAAACTCTCTTTGCAAGGACTTCTCGGTTCTCTTTGAGGGGAATATATGAGAGAAATTATATGCTCATGCCGTGCTGAACCGAAATAATCGCTAAGAATCTCGTTAAAAACCTCTTGGTAAGAATCTCTCACCAAGAAAAAATACAATAGATATGTCACAAGAGGATCACACAATGAGAACCTTTTGATTAAGTAACATCTCTTAGCTTGGTAGTGCTTCTGCTAATGATGCGCGATTGCAAGATGTTTGAACAATCGGAATGTCCCTTCTCGAGATGTTCCGCTTCTCGATTATTTTGATTGCTTAGCGAGAGGTTTGTAAAACCGAGATGTTTATCTCGATTTTTGCATTCGTTAAGCCTAAACGTCTGTTTGCATCTGTCTACATTTCATGAGAGTTTTACGAGGATGTTAGTTCTTTTTCTAGATTCTTATCGAATAGTAGACTAGGCTGTTATGAACAACATATACTGCTGACATATGAATAAGCACTTTCGTCACTCCGTCATGGCAACATAAATAGAAAATTATTTTAAGTAATGGGTACCAGTAATAGTAAATAATACTGAAACATAACATTATGAGAACCTTCTGTCTCGTTATAAACATTTTGATTTAAATACAAAAATTTTTTTGAAAAACATATCGTCTTGTCCATAGTTTTTATTGAATGGTATTAAGTTCCGTAGATAAAGTAAGTAAGGCTATATTCATAGACTTTCCTTGGTTTTGAAGTAAGATTATACCTCTTATTGGGGGTCAATCAATAGAAATTAGATGATTATAAATTACGATGCCGGACTTAACGAAACAATCGCCATGAACATCTCGTTAAATAGACTCCCGTTAAGGACTTCTCGCGTCTCGGTTCTCTAGACGAATGCAAGATACGAGAGAAGCCGTGCTAAAACAAAACAATCGTCGCATCTCGATAAATGTCTCTCGGTAAGAACCTCTGGCTAAGCGAAATAACAATCAAAACGTCTTGAGAGGTTCAAACAATCAAAACGTTTTGAATGTAATATCTCTCAATCGCGCATCACTAGCTTCTGCCCTGCAACAGTGTAACTCCTGCTTAAGGTACTTCTCAAACACATCACAACTTTATATAGAAAATAACCCTAATAAATAAAAGCTTAAACGTATCAATATAAAACCTACTTACAGCAGAGAGACGGAATATGTTCCTCTTTCTATAAAATTCATCGGGACCCTTATTGGGCCCACGGTAATTCATTCTCACAAAACGAGCGACAGTTAAAAATACCATATTCTTTGCTGAGTCTTATTGAAGGTCGGTAACTAGTCTTCAGTCTTGCATCTAGGTTCAAATTATGGGTTATATATTTTACACAACCTAAGTAACCTAACTTTGAAAAACGTTTTCTAGTACTTCATAACCTAAAAGAGCAACTTAAAAAGAAACCAGAAAAACTAATCATGCAATGCAAGGCAACACAACAAACAGAAACAAAACAATGAAAACAGAATCAGTGTTGCCAACCTGAAATATCAACTTAATTCATCTTTTTTAATAATGGTTGGCATCGGCCCGTAGTAGCAATGATTATAAATTTCCCGTGTTTCATGGGATATTGTAGATTATAAAGAGTGTCCCGTAAATAAACAGCCAAACTCCGGGAGATGGTTCTATAAGTCAAAATAAAGAGAAAATCAAAAATAACACTTTTTCCAAAATCGCTTCGTTAACCAAATATCCGCCATCTCGTATTTTTACAAAAAAAAATTATTTTTGAATTTTTCAACCGGTCCTTATAAAACTTGGTATATGTAGGTTAAGGTAAAAAAGACCAATGTTAGAAAAAAATGTTTATGTAAAAATACAAAATGGCTGATATCTGGTTAACGAAGCGATTTTGGATAAAATGTTATTCTTGATTTTCTCTCTATTTTGACCCATAGAACAATTTCCCGTAGTTTGGCTTTTTACTTACGGGACACCCTGTATACATATATATACTTAAAAATGGCCAAACGATAAAAAAAATAAAAAAAAACAGCTATACTCACTAACAAAACAACAAATAAATAATGACACAATCAATAAATAAAAAAATCAACAAGTATTCACGGCCACCTTTAACTCCAGGCGTGTTGCCTTGCTCCAGGCCACGGTCTGGTAGAAGTGGCAACGTCGCAGGTAGTGTTCTCTCTCTAGCGCCAGACGTCCCGTAATATAAGATGTCAGACATGGTATACCAGCTCATTAATTTGCATATTTTTCATTTAAATTTGAGTTTATGAACATAAATGTATTAAAAGATTTAAAATAAACATATAAAATTAAAAACTAAAACAATAAAAAATTTAAAATTTATTTCTGTAGATTTAAAGTGGAGTCAATATTTTCGTTTTAGTGGAGTAATCAAGCTTTCGTATTCCTAAAAATACCCAAACACAGCGAAAATACAAAAATAAAATATAGCTGCCTCCTAAAAAAGCAGCTGTTACGACACTACTTGCAACGTTGTCACTTCGAAGGCCGCGGCACGGAATTAAAGGTGGCCGTGCTCCAGGTTGAACAATTAGTAATTTCCTAGTTATATAACAAAACAGCAAACCAGTAATTATGAATTATGCCTAAAATAATATAAACAAAATTTCGTTAACACTAGTGATCGGTGTCACCGGACATGAACTAGACACGAAAAACGAGCTTCAAATTCACAATGGGATGTGAGGTCGAGGTCTACTTGTGTTGGTCAGTATATTATAATGGGGATTGAATACATCGACAAACTATTTAATCAACTATTGACAAGTCGTTGCTCGCCAAGGAGAGAGAGGGACTTCCTTCGACTTCCAGCCAGTTTGTCACAGTCAAGGAAGTAAAGGAAGAAGTACACGTCACTGAATACCATGTTTCCCAGGCGAAGAATTCTTGCGAGTGGACTGTTGGCGTTGGCGTCATAAGATGTTGATCTGAAGCGCCGGCCGAACAATTCTTGCGGATCGAGTTCTTGCTGGAACCCTGATATCTATCTCCCTGAAGAAGTTCCTGGACAACTGAGGACGCTATTCACTACCTTGTCCTTTTAAAGATTACACAGGTCCGTGGCAGAATCTCTTCGAATTTCTAATGGATGCAATTTCAGTATATGTGCACATAGTCGGCCACGAGCGCGTATCGATAGGGATAGCCACTTCTAACACAAATCAGACGAAGAAATCTGTTCTAAATTGCGTCCAAGCATTGCCTGTCGTTTCAGTGTAGCACCACCAGGACCAGACCGTAGACACATATTGAAGTCCTTGTTTGACTGAGCAACACAGAGACTTCAGTTCAAATCAAAGCCTAGGGACAACGCATACCTCTTGTGAAGCGTATGACGAATCCCAGCAATTTGTTTCCTTTCGTGGTAAAGGTCCACATGATCACCAAACGTAGGTCGTGTCGTATGAGAAAAGAATTACGAGATCTTTGATAGTTGAAATTCTTGTAACACTGTCTACTTCCATAAAATACACAAAAGATTAGAGGATTTGGAAAAAGAGAGCAATGTTAAGTTATAACCGAGTATTTACTGGGATTTATCTTCATATTATTGCCCTCACACCATGCTATAACCTTCACACTCAGGTTCATCTGTAGTTGTGCAGCGTTATTGCCTGAAGACATCTCACAAAAAAAGCTTCATGTCATCGGTGAACATGAGGGCACCAACGTCCACTAATCAAGAAGGTCATTTTTACGTCAAATTGAAAAGATACTGCCCCAGATGTGGACCCTATGTCACCTGGGACCGTTGACGTCTGATGAAAATATATTGACCTAATGGAGCCGATCGAGCCGATCATAATAGCCAAGTAAAGGCGAGTAATGTATAATGATTGTACTTAAGTAAAAAAAAACTACTTTTCAAGCTGTAAATCCATTTTGTTATGTAGAAATCGTAGTATGTTAGAAGTGAAACTACATGATTTCGTTTCTTATGTTGGCAGTTCTGAACTAACTGACAAACAGATGCAGAGCAGCCCTGCTGACAGCGGCTAGCGGCAGCCGCTCCTTGTTTTGTTCAGTTTCGTTCGTCGTTTCGTCACTTTCGTCAGTTAGTTTACGTTTTGGCGGTGTTGTGGAAGTTCGTGCTGTTATAAAATGCGTGATAATGCCACTATAATCTTTTGTTTCAGTCCAATTTGCTAAGCAATTTTGTTCTTAATTAGTTTACAAGTCAAACAAGTGATATAAAAAATATTTTAACCACTTGCCACATTGTTTGAAAGTTGTCTGCACACGTGAATGTTTTGGTTGTGAGAATCACGGATCACGTCAAATTGTTTTGAAAAAAGTGTGGTGCAGTTGTTAACTTTGAGGTGGATTATCTACACGCTATTAATCTTTGGTAAGTTATAAATTTAATACGGTTTGATTACCTACCTTAGTTAGCTGTCATAATTTATAGGCTACGTATGGTACTTGTCTCCTATGTGAAATTCAATCTTTAAATACGGCAGTGTATTATAACATACTGTACTCAAAGAAATGTGCATAACTAACTATCTGACAAGTTGAACTAAAATATAGTTACAGCCTTTAAATTACTGTACAGTGTACCGGTACACATTCTCCAAATTTTGTAAATAATCAAACAAATTTACTAGGTCTTCAGTACCAAGGCGCCTTGTTCAGTACTATCATTCTTGCTTTTAAACGTTGGTACTTAAGTAAGTTAGGGTGTAGGTATCTGTTTTTCAAACTCTGCCCTATTGTTAACATTTTTGATTTCTATTCATAGGGATGTGGTTATCTTAATCAACATAGGGATGTGGTTATCTTAATCAACATAGGGATGTGGTTATCTTAATCAACATAAAAAGCTATAACATTCGTTGCTGTTGTTGTAACAAATTTAAATGATATTTGTTTACCAATAGGAAGTTGTCAACAGTGTATACGGTAAGTATTTGAACTTGCACTTTTGTAGACTAAGTAATTTAATTATTAACTTTTATACACTTAAAGTTAGTATTTTAAACATTTGCTATGTTAACTGTGCAAAATGACAGTCTAAAAATAAATGATAATTAGCTTAGGCACCAGAAACAAAAAAAAATAATAAATAAAAAAATAAAAAAAACAAGCCCATTCGTAAGTAAACATTGAATCAGGGGTTCAAGAACAACATTTAAATAGAAAATCGGCATTGTTTCAACGTGAATAAATATTTTAACTATGTAATAACTTATTAGGGCAAAGTAAACTATTTGGGGATCCCAGAACATTTAGTTTTAACAATATGTTGGTAAACATGTCAAACACCCCCTTGTCCCTTTCACTTTAAAAGTTAATACTGTAGGTATAGTCCTGGTGTTAGCATGACTATTAGCATGACTGTTAGCATGGTGTCAGTGGTACTATTTCCGTGATCCCATTGGCCTACGGCCTACAATTTATTAAAATGTAGGCATAAGTTATAATGTCAAGGTATTTCTAAATTATGTACACCCGTAGACATTTAAGGAAGATACATTTACTTAGCCATGGTGGGTGCTGTAATTAACACTGTCACAGAGTTGTGTGGTACGTACATTTTTTCAATAGGCGTATCCGTGTTTCAAAACAAGTTCTGTAATTTCAAGAAAATACATTTGTTATTTGCTATGTTGCTTTGTTATGCGTTTCCTTCCGTTTATATGGTATTTAAATTATATTGTAAATTTATCTAGGCCTATTTATAATTGTAATTTATTTATTTATAATGCAGTGTTGAATGATGCTTTAAAAATTGTTTGAAAACCATGACCTAGATCATTAGGCCTTAGATAAACCTTATTACCTTATTACAATATCTTCATCTTTTACCCAAAAGGGATTGACGGCGTTAAGCCATACTCCCTTTAATAAGCTACAGATTGTCTGAATAACCATTTGCTCTACTCAGCTTCCATCTCATCATTCTGCCTTCACCCTGGTATGTCGGATAATATAAATATTAATAGGCAAGCATGTTTCTTTAGAACATTTTTTCTCATCTTGTGTGCATCGCAGGGAAAATCTACGCATACTGTTGTAAAGATATTTTCCTGTAGATGTGCAGAATCCCTTTATAAATTAAAATAGGCTTAAAAGTAAACACAAAAAATGGATTTAAAAATTTAAAAAAATTAACATGGGCCTTATGGGTTGCCATGCTGGTGACTAAATAACAACGAAATATAAACAGAAAATCAAAACAAATGGAAGAAATTCCAATTACATGTTTTATTTACAGCGTGGATGAAAGTAGAGAAGTCTGTAGCCTACATTACAAATTTTTGTCGAGTTTTCGACCACTGGACGACCTCTAGTTAATCTAATTAACTACCTACTAAGCCACCACAATCTGGATAACATTGTGTTTTGTATACACTACACACCCTGACGTTATACCGTTCAACTATCTTCTTATGGAATTAATATTTCTGGGATAAAGCGTGGCCCAAGTGATCAAGTTGAAGCCGGTCCTGTTTGTCTAAGTGACTGTAACGGGATCAGACACAGAATTATGACACAAAGAACGCAGCAAGAAGCAATGCCAACCGGTTACATACTCTGTGTAACCTTAGCCGCGGTCAGACCATGTCGGGAATGTGAAGGTTGGCGGTCCTGCCGTTATAGAAAATGTGTTCTCAATTCCAATATAGCTCTAGAATCTATAACAGTCGTGTACTGTGATGGTTTTGTTTAATTGTTTCTACGTAACTCGGCGAAATCACGATACTATGGCCATATCTGTGAGATGCGGAAGTTTTTCACGTTACCAAATGAAACCTTATCTCGAGAGCCGATAGCAAATATTTTAATAACGCTTAAATTCTAGATGACTTGTCCTATATCAATAAAGTATTTAGCTTACACGGGGTCGTACTAAAATAACTGCAACATAGAAAATTTCAAATTTAGATATTCAATTGGAAACGTTTATAAAGGGCATCAAAATGTAGGGGCCTGGGGTTGGGTCGGTTTTGGGTACAGAATCTACTTTTCGTACTGCCTATGCCAACAATTTGTATTACTAGTTTTAACTTTATTTGATTTTAAGTGAACATTCGATTTCAATGTTTGACGATTTGATAGGCCTACTAATTTTTGTAATCAACTACACCCTTATCAATATGGGAGTGACCCTGAAACTCCATGTATTTTACCTGGCGTTCGGTGGCAATCCCGGCGCGCGTACAGATTGGCCAATGGTTCGAGGGTCTTTTCTAACATACAGATTGACCAAAGGTCCTAATGAGCAGGGGCAAAAAATGGGGGAGGAGCTTACAGCAGCGATGTCCCATGTGGGGGAGGGGCTTGTCTATTCAAGTACAGTGTTTGTTAACGTTTTCTAATCTTACCAGGCACAGAGGTGGCCTCTTTAATGCTATTGAATATCATAGAACCAACTTGTGTAGTTGAAACAGCTGACAAAATTCTTTAGGCCTAATTCATTTTAAATATGAACGAGCTGGTGGCCCGTCCTAATACGGGAATCGAGTTGTCAACTAAACGGAATCATCCAGAACATCTAGTTTACACGCAAAGACACAAATTCTGGAAGTTTTAATGGGGAAAATCACCTTATAAACAAATGTAATGTGAACAACTATTTATTCCATTCGAATATAGACCTAAAATATGGCGATATGTATTTTAAATCCGATAATTTTACCATAAAACAGCATTTGTGTCGATTTGAAAAATCTTGAAGTGAGATTGGCGACCGATTCACACTGGTTTTGAGTAGAGTAGATATATGACACCTCCAATTGCATACTGTACTACTTATGTACTTACCGTACCTTATCTTACCTCCGTGACCACTGAAACTTTTATGAGGATTCTCTTCCATCACCTGCCTCTTCAAAATTTAGATCCCAGTCTGAGGATGCATTTCATAACTTGATATTTCCCGTCTATCGTGTGGTACTCCTTGGGATATACTTTTTAAAAGGTTATGCACAGAATGTCCATCCAAGCTTTACCTACTTCTGGAAAGCATCCCTATATTTGGGTGTTAGTGTTAACACATTTCTCTTAGCTCTCTGTTCTTTTTTATTTCGACCTCCGGCCGTTATCTTGAACTGGTCTGTATATTTTCTCTGCACTTTATTATCTAACCCATCATTAAGGTTTTTCGGTTCTTTAGTCAGTGCCCAAGTTTCTGAATCATCGGTACTACGGGGATAGTTGGTATGGTATGAGTCGACATTGGTTTCTGCTGCACCCTGCAGTTTATTTAACAGTTTTGAGACCTACTACACCGATTGACGCTTTCATTACTAACCAAAATTTTAGTATGCCGACATACTCCCATTCAAACATACAGAAAAAGAAGTATTAACACGTAAACCACTTATATCTTAAACAATTAAGCGATAAACTGCTGAAAAAATATTTCCCAAATATGAGTTGAAATTTGCAATGCATAAACTAAATACTTACACAGATTGAATTTACGACAAAACTTGATCTCAAACACTTGCGTTTAATCAATCAATCAATCAATTGATAATTGATTGATTGATTGATTACACGCAAGTGTTTGAGATGTTTAGTTAAAAATAACACAATTCCTAATAACGCAGATCCTTCACGGTAAGGGAAAACTACCTACATTTTAAAGTGAAATAGTATGTAAGCAAACTCAAACACCAACGAACAATATTTTTGTAAACAAACAACTCGTAACATAAACATTTCAATGACAGTTATAAACCAGCTGTTAGTTAAACCAGCATTGAAAATGCTTTAAATTGCTAGCGTCGGCTGCTAGACTTTTTAAAAATTAAAACTTAAATTCTAAAAAACTGAAACCCTAAACTAAAATTATGGCTTCGACATTCCCTAGTTCTCAAAATTATATTTCGTTCAAACACAAAAATCATGAACATCCGTCAAGTGGTTGATTCAGAATGGTGAAATAAAAAATCCGTCACGTTTTAATATTATAGATACTACCATAGACTAAGCAACACAAGATACTACTCCTATAATGAATATTGCTAGATTGGTTTTGTGAACTTAAAAATTAACATCGTGTGCGAAATACTAAGACAGATATTAAAGGTAATTTTCAAAAAATGTGTATACACATAAAAACGAGAATGCTTATGCTTTGAATCTTGAAAGAACACTTCAGGACTTTCAAATGGTAACATTATCTTAATTGCTATAACTAGGTCAAACAAACTAACAATTTCGTAACCAACTCGACCTCCCAAAAAATGTACTTTGTGTACTTGACAAGAAATTGATAGTGAGTTTATAAGCAATTAGCTAGTTAGATTTTATAGCCTATTATTTGCATTAGAATACCGCACCGTTTTGTTTAAGCTACAGTTGAATGTAAGAACCTTATTTGTTTACTTAGCAGCTTACATAAAGTGTTTTAAAAAGTAAAATTCGTCTCTTGAGCTTGCCACCTCTGTGACTGGTAAGATCATAAACAGTTAACAAATACTTGACTTAAATAGATAAGCTCCTCCCCCACACGGGACATCGCTGCTGTAAGCTCCTCCCCCATTTTTTGTCCCTGCTCATTAGGACCTTTGGTCAATCTGTATGTTAGAAACGACCCTTAAACCATTGGCCAATCTGTATGTGGCCGCAATCCCGTATTGCCAAGGATATCTTGGGTGCTATGCAGCTTACAAAAGTCAGCAGTCCTGGAAGTTGATATGTAAAATCGTATTTGAAAGATTATAGATAATAACATAAAACTTACTCTGAAGTTTACCCCAGTGATTAAGTGAGTTTCATAATTTATAAAAACTTGTAATAGTTCGTTCCCACAGTTCTAAGCCTAGGACCGCGAGTCCCTAGGGAATGATTAGCACGTGGGTTTGAATGGTCAGGATCATCTAGTTCCAGCCTTGTCAGCAGTCAGACGCCCACGTATGGTGTGGATGAGTGCGGTCCATGGACGTCTCTGGCATGGCAAGTGGCGACTAACGGTACCGGCGACTGCCATATACAGCATACAACCAGACGACTAGACTGCCACAGTCACTAGGTCGACCTCTACACTCAACACCGCACCGGGTGAACCACAAAACATTTACCTTAGGGTGTTTAGTAAAGAACGCGCTCGAAATAGAAAGGGCTCCTCGATTCGTCCTCAACGTCTAGAAATCCAAATGTATTTTTGGATGGGGAATGCGTTTCAGAGCCATCACGAACAATGAAGGTGCCAGATAGCCCAGTCAATGAATGCAATATACAGTAACTCCCTTTTTCGCAACTAAATGTGGAAAGCTGGATTTTTTATATGTGTGATAGAACAACATGAGAGGTGTATTTTACCAGAAGTCCCCACTTCTACCCCTTGAGCTTTTCCCCCACCCCCTCCAAACCTAGAAATTGCTGTGTTTTACTTAATTGATCATAGGCCTAAGTCAAATACTATGTAAACTACCGAGCTGCAGTTTGATTTGTTTTTGTATTTATAAAATTTTTCTAAAACAAATACAGTACTGAGGGAGATACAAAATTTAATATAAAATTAATAAAAAATATTTATTGACTGGGCTAAGATACCTGGCTGGTCGGAAACTCTTAAGGAGGATGGACTTGGTGCGCAATTCGGGTGATTCGTTATATAAGATGTCATTATTGCTCACCATCATCTGACATTATCAGGCACGAACCACCAATGAAACGTTGCAGTGCAGCTCAGGTCTCGAGGAAGGAAGTCCCAACTCCGACCAGCTGTTTTTTAGCCGACTACAGTTTAATAAGGCAGATAACTCTTGGCAATTACTCGCCACATCCGCTGGATGACGCTTAACTCACCAGTTTGTTCTCCCCACCTGTCTATGTGTCTACAGCTGTAATACACCATAGACACATATACATTGTGTACCTGTGCCTGTGATCAATAACTCTTGGCAATTACTCGCCTCAGTCGCCTCATCTGCTGGACGACGCTATATAATCGCCAATATGTCCTCCCTGTCTATGTGTTTATACAGCTACAATACTCTAACTTATAGTGTAATGGCATGGCAACTGTGTAGGTACCTGTATCTGAGAGACCAGGTAGTAAGTCTCTTACTAATCGATTTTATCAATTTCGTAATTGTAACAATATTTGGACAACGTCTTTATCCTGCAATCAAACATTTTCAATACTTTTTGGCTCTATAACCAGTTCAACCTATCAGAAGGTTGACTGAATGAATAGCCTACATATAGGCGAATATTCATATCCTCGCTACTGTTCTGTACAGAACTATTACTCCCAAACTCAATACCACAGACAATGGAGTAAACCATTAGAGTATTATATTGTCTGTGTCAATACTCTTCAACCAAAAATAAGTGGTCAAACTGAATTAGCCTAATTAATGCCAAAACGAAGCTATCTTGAGCTTCCGCTACATCAGGAAAATGAAACAAAAATAAAATAACATAAACAATACTGGTAAACCACTAAAGAGACCAGATTATAATGTTAAACACTCAGATTGAAGATAAGATTGTTTTCATGGTTTTAATGCAAGCTTTCTAGAATAGGCTACATCAGATGGACGATACATCGAGTGATGTTTCTTGGATTGTTTATTTTTGTTGAGTTTAAAATGTGCAGCTCACTTGCCCATGTAAGTACTGTAGCCTAATAATTTTTCGAAATATATACTCTTGAAACATTCTTTGTAAAGCCCTCGATGGCTGGTTCACTTGCCACCTAAGTGTAAATCTACTACGTTCAACGTAAAGTTTAATAGTCGATTTGGGACATTGTATTTTGGATTAGTAACATTTAACGATGTTAATTGGATAGTATTTTTTACTTACCACCAATGTAGATAAAATAAAAAATAAAAAGTTTAGAGATTTTTTAAGTTCATAAATAAATGTAGGGCCTTCAGTTTTTAATGTTTTTATCATTTTGTCGATATTATTTCGTAGCCTACTATTGAAAAATTCTGAAATCAAACCAAGTTTAACACGTCATCATATTTAACATTTTTAGCTTATTTTACGTTCTCTCCTTTCCAGACCGGAGCAGAAAACAGTGATTTCGCTTCTGTTGCCAGTTCGCCTCATTTTGTCGATAAAACCCTTTTGATAAAGGAGTTTTTCAAATACAAAACAAACAATCGAATGTTGGTGACTGCTCCTCGTCGCTTTGGCAAATCTCTGAACATGAACATGATCAAAACGTTCTCTGAAGCTTTGTTAGACGAGAAAGGAAACTGGACAATCAGGGAGGAGACGGAGAACTATAAAACATTCGCGGATAACAACCTCACCATCTTCCAGGACTCGGTGTTCTTCGACAAACACTTTGGGAAATACCCCGTCATCTTCTTGAACTTCAGCCAGTTGAATTACTCCGGTTTTGACGTGTTCATAAGTGGGTTCAAAGCAATGATATCGGCAGAGTTCGAATCTCGAAGGTATTTGCTGAAGAGCAGCATTCTCACCAAAAGAGATTCGGGCAAGAGGGAAGGATACTACAATAAAACTGTTATCACCGATCTGCATGAAAGAGACTTACGCAAAAGCATGTTGTTTTTATCAAAACTTTTGTTTGTGCATTTCAACTATACAAAATGTATCATACTTATAGACGATTACGATACTCCAGTAAGAAATGCCATAGTCGAATCAAGCTCGGACTTGGAATCGATATTGGAGTTTATGCGTAATTTTAACGCCGAAGTTTTAAAATCCAACCCCAATGTTGATAGAGCATTGATAAACTCTTGCTTGGCCATAGGTGACGTCATAACTGCTAAAGATACAAACATAAAATATATTCCTTTCTTAGAAGACGCGAGATTTTTGGACTTCTATGGATTTATGAAAGATGAAGTAAAAGTGTTGCTCAAGAAAGTAAGAAAGTTGCATATGCTAGAAGTAATCCAAAAGTGGTACGGGGGATATTCTGTGCAAATGGGCAACATTAGAGTATTTAATCCTTTTTCGATTTTGAATTTCTTGAAATACAAGAAAATTGAACGTTTTTGGGCAAAATCCGTCAATATTGATGATTTAGAGGAAGTATTTCTCTATCCAGAAGTGAAGAAGAAGATAGAGAAGATTATGGATACTACGGTAGAAATCAAAGCAACACACAAAATAAAAATAAAACACATAAGCAGACTGAAAGAAATAGTCAACATAACACAAACTGACATAAGCGAAAAAGATGCTGATTTGTTCATAAAATATTTGACCGATTTGGGTTACTTTAATGTTGTGTATAACGGGGAAAAGGTGACGATTTTAGATATTCCCAATTTAGAGTTGAACTATGAAATTGATAATATAATTTCTTATACTTCTTATTTCATAAATAAAACTAATATTTAGTTCTTCTGACGAAAATATTAAGTACACGAATACACATGTTATTAAAACTCCTTATTATGCAATTATGTTTTATTGCAACACTTCGATGGTATAAAAGGTTTTAAATTGTGTTTTGCCCTTTCTAATTCTGACAGAGAAGCCCAATACTTATTGCACTAGTATGTACAGGAAAAAACAACTTTGAAATGAAGAAGTAAAAAGAAACTCAACCATCCACTGGTACAAATAGATTGTAGAACATTTTAAACAATAATATGGGAACTCTAGTAGGGGTAACGTCTGTATTTAACGTACGGTATGTAAAGATTCTTAAAAATGCCCTCATGCTATTGTCATTTCGTTATTTTTAATCATTAAATAGTTTCTCACTCTTAATTGAGTACAACCTTCGAAAATAAAAACAATTAAAGATTAATATTACCACGTTAACAATGTTTAACCAGTTTTTCCATAACTTATTATAATTGAGCCAACTGTAGTCTATATTATGATGTTGTATTATACAGTTTTCTTCCCTTTACGCAAACATTACAGTAATTATTAACTCAAATGAGTAGTTTATAAAGACGGCATCATCTCTGGCTATTAAGTTACTGTATCCATAGTATTACGCAAAACTACGAGAAAAAATTAGAATTTTATTAGTGAAAATATATGATAGGCTCCTTTCTGTATACTCTCTTTAAAAAAAACTTGTTATTGCTGATCAAAGTCCCCAAAATGTATATCGTCTAATTAGATATGTCCAATTAGATATCCAAAATCAATGTTGAAAGATTTTTGAATAACGTGAGATATGAGACTATTTTGTAGGAATAATTACGACTAGGCTATTACCTACTACTAGAAATCATCTAATCATCTTAATTCATAGAGTATGTTAAATTATATTAAACTATATAGAGGTTATATTATATACAAAGAAAGTGTTCGTTATGCCGTGGACACCAGAGTAACATGTAGTTTATGGCACGTAAGAGGTACGTGATAACGGTGCCTAGAATGTAATATTAGTAGAACACAGTTATCTACGTGCTCTGCATGTACAATTGAATATATACATAGAGTAGTATAACATCTACGGTACGATGTAAATGTAGCATCCATCGTCGGTCTACCAGTTATATCGTTACCATTGACTTTAGATAATGAAATTATACTTCTCGCCCTATGAATTTGGGTGTTATTTGTGCTGATGGGTATTTTTTTACGAAACATTTTATGTTGTGCACATAAAACACATAATTTTACTATGCTCAATAGTTTTAAGTTAGTGATTTAGCGAGAAAAGATTTATGTCTACTTATAACTGAGAGTTATGTAACACTCTCTACATAGTCAGGAAATATCTAACAAGTCTAAGAGGGAATATGTTAAGTTTACGGTTAAGGTAACCTAAATACATTTTGGTTATTTGAATTTCTCAAATACGTTGTATCTAACTATTTGATTGACGTATCGATTAACTTGGCGTAATGTTTTTCACGAGAAACCAGTAAATGCATAACAACATAGTGTAAAGATTCCAAACAATGGTTATTTTAACTCAAAACAGTTTTAACATTTTAATATTTCTTATCATATTGCATGTATTTAAACGCCAATACTTGATTTTTAAGATTGTAGTATTTTATAAACTCCAGATTCTGACAAAACACCAGGAAACCCGACAAATATTGTGGTTATTTATATCATAACACAATTAAGGTATCCTCTACCTGTTGTATGTACTGTTTATTTCTTTAGACATAAATTTCACCTACAATTCCCATTAACCGAAAAAAAGAATGTGTGTTATTCGAGTAGTTGTTGTCAATTGAATGACTTAAATAGATATACGTGTCTGAAATATAATATTGATTAATATGTTATAGGTATTTCATTCTATTTTTGATGAAAAGTCTTATTTTCTTTTATTGTGTACAGCTTGAATTTTACGTAAACAATGAACTGTATAATGCTTCAAGACTATATATATTCGTATTTAATTTTTTTGAAAAATTGTAAATTTTGTATATAATGTGGAATAAAACCGATTTGATTTGAACGCTACTAAGTCCACAAAGAAACGTGGAACGACGAACCCCCCTTCGGGACGGCCCAGACTGAATGAAAAGCTCATAGCTTCGTATGCTTCTATGGTTTATGTTTGTACGAAATCTGCGTTTGGACTTCAATTTGATCTTATTATTTCTGAGAAACTGTGTCTACAAATTCTTGATTTCTCTTTTATGCAATACTTTAGTCGTGTGTATCAGTATTGGTATCGGACCATACAGTTGGGTGCTGTGGGCGGGGGCGGTGTATTGTAATGTAGTACGACACGGGCGTGTCCAGCTGACGGAAACTACAATCAGCTTATGTCAACATCCACCTACTTACACTGTACAGTAGCGCAGGAAGTGACCCTCAGTCCATACAGTAGAGGCGAATGAAGCGATTCCATGGGGGATTACCTCTAGGAGGATCCTCCTAGGTTTACCTACCTGTGTCCGATGTGGACAATGTCCTTGGATTTGTTTTGTTAAAGTTTACATTGCATTATTTAGAGGATGATAAAGCATACAGTTTTTGTTATCATACGGTGTACAAATATATGTTAGAAATATTAAGAAAAGTTAGTTGAAACATATAAATAAGTTGAAAAATATTTAAACTGTTTTTGCAAAGTGACAAATACTTTCTCTCTTTAACTTGACATTTAAACTGTTGTGGGTAAACGGATGGAGAACGATGAGTTGTTATGGGAGAATCACACAAATTGCAACAATTACAGTACAGTACCACTATAAGTCTAGTATTGTTTTCGTCAACATTTTTGGAGTCTGAGTTTTGAGTGGAAATATCAGTTTTGAGTCAATCAAACATTTAGTAGATTATAGTAGCCTACTTTAAATTCTGAAGAAAGTGGCACAGCCCCCAACACTAGGAACGGTTCAAAAGCTATTGCAACGTCTGTGATTTTCCGTGTGAAACCCATAGTTACTAGGCCGCTTACCCATTAGGAAAGTGTTTTTTCTCGTATATAAGTAGTAGGTTGTCCAATTTTACTGTCAAGGTCATTTTGCTGATACCGTTTATTCTTAGATACAATCCCAGTGGATTCTTTGAGAAATGATTCGTTCAAATTCAGTTACTTTACATCTTAACAAATCACACCGCACTACTTGACGTCAGTTCACAGCTAGTGTTACCCACCGCTCGTTATGACCAACGTAACTTCACTTGCACAACTACAACTGCAGTGGGAAACGGAATCGATCCAGTTTTATAATTGAATCCGCGGTAGAACTAGTTCGTTTCAATCTCTATTTCATCGAGTCTAGTTCAATTTTAATTCCACTTTCTTCCGTGGGTGATTCGTAACAGATCGAAATTGCATCTAGATGAATCTGATTATTTCAAATTGGTTATTTAATGATTGCGTACGTATTGGTGCACGTAAGCAATTATTTGAATTATTTAATTCACAATGATTACCCACAATGATTGTGACGAAATGTAGCAATAACATCTTGCTGGAGTAGGGTCGTATTAAAAAAAATCTAAATAAATAATCCTTTAAATATTGAAATAGATCAAATATTTTTGCTGTACAGAAAAGGTAGAATACTTTCAACCTAAGTGGACGAATGTGTGAAAAAAATACAGTACATCGTGCAAATCAATTAAAGTAGTATATATACACGTCAGATTTCTATATAGGTATCATTCAAACAAGAAATTAACTTATATACAATGTCGCATGTTAGTAGAGATAATGTTTTTATTCTATTTTTAGACTTTTAATTCTGAGATGCTTGGAGAGTTGCCATATTTTAGTTGGTATGTCACCCTTATCATCTCTACCCTTCAAAGTTACTTACTCCCACGAAACCCCCCCCCCCCTTAAAAATAGTAGATAACAGATTTGAAAAAAAAAACAATAACACAAAACTCTAATCATGAGTAAATAATGTTTGCTTTTTACGGTCATTGATTTTACGGTTCAAATCACCCAGTACCAGATTTTTGTATGTCAATTTCCGTATTAATTAGTTAGTTTTCTTGGAGAATTAATATAGTGTCATCTAGGTCTAGAGAGGTGGGTGCCAAAATGTTGTAGTTATAGGAGTAGGCGCTTTGCCAAGTGACATTCCATACTTTCACCAGACCAACACTGTCCCCGTGGCTCGTCACTTCCTGGCGACACTGTCCCTGGCTGGTCATGGGTCGAGGGTGTCCAGACTACGCCCCACTGGCACACGCCTAGTGTCTACAGGTATAGGGGGCCGAGCGAAACTGCAACAAACGTTAGAAAAACAATCAGATCATTGACGGTGTATCAGGAAAAAATAATATACTTATTGTTCCTATGCTTTTGGAATTCCATTCATCTTCACCACCCGGAATATTGGTTAAATAATATTTTGGAGAATATGTTTTCTAAATTAGCCAATTCTCGTTTTAAACATATTAAAAGTGTGAAATATTCTGCTGAACATAAAAAGTCAACTCTATTAAAAAAATTTTAGACATTAATGGCTAAAAATATTCTTTGAGGTGGTTGTTGCATTTCCTGTAAAAATATTGTTTATATTTCTATAGTATTGCTGAAGTGCTACAAATGAATTAATCTACACCTAAACAGCAGATTTGTTAGTCTTCTTAGAATATTGGTTTAATGCTTTAAGATTATTTTTAAATTTTAATCGATGGATTGATAGACAAATTTTTAATTTAAACCTAATTTACAATCTTTATTCACCTTTCACAAGTGAAGGATGCAAAGCTCACTACTCATGATCGAAATTATTACTTTTTCTTCCAGTATGATAAATTGGCTGTCATACTTTGTTTCGAGTTAGAATCTGTTCAGCAGCGGTAAATTATTGGAAGGTTAGCTACATTCATACTTGGCTTAAAATATCTATATTCCTAAGGTCGCCATTTCAGAATAAAGTACTATGTTCCATTCATCTCCCCTAGACCCAAAAAATATCTAATCTAATCTAAAAATATATAATAAGTCCCAGGTTGAGAGAACATTCCCAGTATGGAAGGACTCT